ATAAGGAGTATCGATAGAGCTTCCAATAAATTTACCATGAGCAAGTTTATGTGAAAGTTTGTTTTGTTAGAATCTGATCACTAATTAGGTATTCATCACATTTATTTCTTAATCATTTTTAAGAACAATTTTATATTATTATTATTATTATTTATGAAATGTCAATTCACTGTTTTTATTATGTCAGGTGGAAGAGGGTGATGAAATGCCAACGGATGAAGATCAATGTTTTATTTGAAGTGAACTTTTCCTTGACCTTAAGGATGTTTTTACTTGGACTGTAATTTGTCCCAGACCAGACCAGACCAGACCAGTCCAGACCAGACCAGTTCAGACCAGACCAGATCAGACTTGGATAGTTATAAAAATAAAAAGAAACCAGACCTTACCAGACCAGACCAGACCAGACCAGATCAAATCAGACCAGACCAGACAAGCAAATTACAGTCCAAGTAAAAACATCCTAAGTTATATTTGGGTTAACTTAATACCAGTAGGCCAGTAGGCACTAAATTTGTTCTAGCTTTGTGTTATTAAACATTATTGACTGACTATAAATTACTTCAAGTTACTTATGTAATCATTTTATGAGTAAACATTATTACGAATTTAAGTTATATAATGTGAACGTACTTGATATTTAGTTAGTAACAACTAACAAGAAACTACTTACATTAATCATATATCACTGTAGCTCTATTAATATAATATTAATAGTAATAATATTAAGAGCTGATGAATTATGAAAAAGAAGCTAAAATGTCATATGGGTAGTATCCTTGCAACTTAGGATATTTTTACTTGGATTGTAATTTGTCTCAAACCAGACCAGTCCAGACCAGACCAGACTTGGATAGTTATAAAAATACAAAGAAATCGGATCTTACCAGACCAGACCAGACACTACAATAAAATTGGTCTATAGAGGCACAACATAAGTGCCTCTAAAAATAGGAAAATTGCCTCTAATGCTTTTTTGGGGCAACTTTGTGGTTGCCAACAAATACTCCGTCGCAAAATAGTGGTTGCCTCTAAACAGTGCCTTTGGAGGCAAAAAGTCATATGCCTCTAAAAACATATATTTAGAGGCAACCATAGCCTTTCGCCTCAAAATGTTATTTGAGGCAACTAATTTTAATGACTCAAGATATTATTAGAGACATTATTATACATTGCTCCTACAAATCATCAGATGCAACTTTAAAAGTTATCGTGTAAGCTTTTTAGAGGCAGCCTTAGTAATAATGGCAATCATATTATTTTGCATTGATATAGTAACTATAAATGGCTAATTCCATATACTTCTTTTAAAGTATTCATAGTACACTTATATTTAACATACATTTGTCACGATAACAAATGCTTCCATGTACAACACAAAAGAGAGCTCTTCTCATCAGGCCGGCCTGACGGGCTGCCCCGTCCGGCCGAGCCCGTTTGGGCACCTTCCCGGTGGAATTTTTTGATGAAATTTTTTGAGCATGTTCCTCATCAAGTCTAGTTTGTCCATACCAAATTTCAACTCAAAATTCAATCGGGAAGGTCGTCAAATGATTTTTGCAAGTTAACTGGTCCGGAAAATACATATTTCGGACCAGTTAACTTGCAAAAATCATTTGACAACCTTCCCGATTGAATTTTGAGCTGAAATTTGGTATGAACAAACTAGACTTGATGAGGAACATGCTCAAAAAATTTCATCAAAAAATTCCACCGGGAAGGTGCCCAAACGGGCTCGGCCGGACGGGGCAGCCCGTCAGGCCGGCCTGACATGAAGTTTCATCCAACACAAAATACCTGAAATCTGTATAAAACAAAACTAACTAGATCTAAATGTTTGAAGACAACACATTAGTTCAGAGAGAATATTCATCATCATAATAATCATCATGGTCATCATCATCATAATCATCATGCTCCTCATCATCATTTTCATCATCACCTGTTTCTTTGCTATGCTCCTTGCTAATCTGCAATATTAAAATTAAATTACAGACAATCATAGGCAATCAACTTAGGAAAATCACTGCCCATAAGTCTTAAGGTGTTCATAACTCTAGTATAAAAACAAGCAATCTGGTAAACAATGTGCACGTGTCACTAGTATATTTAAACAAATAAAGAACATATCAACAACTACTATATGCAACTAGTGTAATTTTAACAACCAATCTGATAAACACTACACATCTAGTGTAACTTAGACAACCAATCTGATCATTAAACACAAGGCAGCTAGCTAGTGTACCTTGAAATTGCACCTGCACCTAGCATACAAACAAAGTTTAATAAATAATATGTCAAAACCCAATAGAACAAAAATAATCAGGATTATATTACACATTTCTTTGAGTAAGTAGACATACTAGCTTTTACAGATTTAGATTCTTTAACCAACATTTCTTTAGCCTACAAGTAAACAACCCTACATTTTTGTGAAGATGAAGAAGCTTAACCAGGCACGGGGAGTACAAATTTAGATTCTTTAACCAACATTCACAAAGCACATTTCCTAAACTCAATATGATTTAGTAAATTAAACCACATTGCTAAGTGCTAACAATTCAATATTTATCAAGTTCAATTGTAATGGAATGTTACACATTTAACCTGATAAAAGTTAAAACACACCGATAAAACTCACTTCTGGTTCACCTGAGATTCATCACGTCTGGTATGAGTCTTCTTATACACTTCCAGCAAACCGGGCATTACTTAGTCAGTTTCAAACTAATATGACAGAAGTATTATTTTGGCAAATATATAAGTAAACAATATAAAAATAAATCACAATAAAGTAAGGATAGCATGACAACAAAATTAAACACGTAAAAAGTCATACCTTGAGACAAGATAATATGGTTGCTTCTAATACATGCTATTTAGAGTCACATCTTTGGTTGTCTCTAAAAGTAGTTTTAGAGGCAACCATTATTTAGGGACGGATTAGTTAGAGACAACTTAGAGGCAACTAATAAATTGTCTCTAAAAGCAATTAGAGGCCACTTTCCTATAGATAGAGGCAACTTTGTCTTGCCTCTATAAATCATTTTTCTTGTAGTGTTACTCGCCCTTTTACCAGTTGTAACTGGTTTCAAGAATCTGCTCATTTGGTCACTGATCAGTATCACGCGAGGACAAGAATTATAAGGGTTACTGTTTTGGAAAATAAAAACTCTTCTATTACTCCAAAAACAAGCTCTTCCGTTAAATAGTGAAAATATGAGTCTAAAGGTTAAGGTTTATTTGACTAACATGACAAAATCTGCTCAGTTCTATACTTCTACTAAAGAAAAGTCGTTGGGTATAACCTTTTTCAGCCAGATAAATTAGCGAGAAGCTACTTGTTTTGCTTAGGCTCTGTTTGGTAGCCTTCTATGGCTTGTTTTGCTTAGGGTTCGCGGATAATGCTAACCAAACGGGTTCTTACTCACTTGAGAAGCAAAACAATCCAATTAGGGCTACCAAGCGGAGCCTAGCCCTCAAATTCTAGTACTACCTTGGATTCAGTAAAACTGCTGAACAATGGTGATAAACAAGTTTTTTAAATAATGTGAACGTACTTGATATTTAGTTAGTAACAACTAACAAGAAACTACTTACATTAATCATATATCACTGTAGCTCTATTAATATAATATTAATAGTAATAATATTAAGAGCTGATGAATTATGAAAAAGAAGCCAAAATGTCATATGGGTAGTATCCTTGCAACTTAGGATATTTTTACTTGGATTGTAATTTGTCCCAAACCAGACCAGACCAGTCCAGACCAGACCAGACTTGGATAGTTATAAAAATACAAAGAAATCAGATCTTACCAGACCAGACCAGACTAGACCAGGCCAGACCAGACCAGCAAATGACAGTCCAAGTAAAAACATCCTTAGCCTGCCCAGTGATTTCATCAACCATCTCATAGACCAGATAAGTCTCTTTGTGATTTCGGTTACCAGCAAAAAAATCATGGTCGACCCCACCAACTCGGATCCAACTTTGGCCTGGATGTTTCCTCACTCCGATCTCAAACATTTTCCGTCTCACGCTATCCATCGCGGTCCACCTCTTGTGAGTGGCATACACATTTGCCAAGAGCATGAAATAGCCTGCTGATCTTTCGGGTTGTTCGACCTCGACTGTAAATTTCTGTGCAACGACTGAAGCAATGCTTAAGTTCTTGTGAATAATGCAGCCACTTAGAAGAGCACCCCACACGGCATTGTTTGGCACCATAAGCATACACTTGACAAGTCTCTCTGCTTCATGTGAGAGTCCAGCGCGACTAAGGAGATCAACCATGCAACCATAATGTTGTACTCTTGGCTCCACTCCATAACACTCTCTCATTCTTTTAAAGTAAAACCGGCCTTTATTGACATAACCGGCATGACTACACGCAGATAATATGCCCAAGATTGTGATTTCGTCCGGCTTAGCTTTTAAAGTTTCCATCTCCCGGAATATGGTGAGAGCCTCTCCTGCATAGCCCTGTTTGGCGAAACCAGTTATCATTGTATTCCAAGAAATTATGGTTCTCTCGGGCATTTCCATGAATATCTTATAAGCATCCTTGATTTCACCACAACAGGCATACATGTGCATAAGTGCATTGTTCACGGAGATTAACACCTGCCCACTTTCGACAGTTATGGATTCAAGAATGTATGAATGTATCCATCTTCCCATATCCAAGAAAGCCATTTCTGCACAAGTAGCTAGAATTGACACCAAGGTCACCTGGTCAAATTCCACGCAATTGCTGTGCATTGCACGGTGTGAAAGAATTATTGTATATAAGAATATGCTTTAGGAATATACTCTAGACATTATTATAGTATAGCATCTTATGTAGGAATATTCTATATAAGAATATGCTTTAGGAATATACTCTAGACATTATTATAGTATAGCATCTTATGTAGGAATATTCCTTCTTTGTAACCTATATATAGGGTCTTAACCCTCTTATATTAAACACACAAAATTCTTCCATTCTCATTACTACTATATGCTTAATTCTGATAACATGGTATCAGAGCATTAGGAAAGATTTAGTTCCTTTTTCTTTTAAATTTCAGCTTAGTTTTTCAGACTGAGTTCTTTCTCAAAGAAACCTGATTTCAGCTCAGACTCTCCAGAACCTCTAGGCACCATTCTGTCTCCCAGAAACTCACTCCAGGACAGATTTTTTTTTTTTAGCCCCCCTCTATTCAGAACCTTTGTGCAGACCATATTCCCCATCTGTGCCAGGTGCTCGCAGTCTGCAGTTCCAAATCAGCACCCAAGTCAGACGTGCCTCTGGATTTTTATTCCAGCCCAAAACGGGCTGCTGTAAGTTTTCATTAAATTAAATATCTCAATTTTGAATTTTATTACAGTTTCAAAAAAAAAAAAAAAGAAAAGAAAAAGAAAAAAAAAAAAAAAATGCCTGGTTCTGACACCTCCACTGTAACACAAAGTCAGCCTTTGATAGTTTCTGAAGTTATTCCCATTAATTTTAAAATTACTGAGAATAAACTTTGTGGCTCTAATTATCTTGAATGGAGTAAAACTATCAAACGCTATTTAAGGAGCATTGATAAATATACTCACTTAGTTGATGACCCGCCAAAGGAGGAGGTTGATAGAGTTGCTAATACTGCCTGGCTTCGTGACGATTCTAGATTATTTATCCAAATTCAAAACTCAATGGAGAATGAGGTAATGGGGTATGTTAGTCATTGCGATACTGTGAAAGAATTGTTTGATTATTTGGAATTTATGTACTCTGGAAAAGGTAATCTTAACCACATCTATGAGGTGTGCAAAGCCTTTTACAGAGCGGAAATGAAAGATAAGCCTCTCACGGCTTATTTTATGGATTTCAAGAAAACCTATGAAGAGCTGAATACATTAATGCCATTTAGTCCTGATATCAAAGTGCAGCAAAAACAAAGAGAACAAATGGCAGTGATGAGTTTTTTGGCTGGTCTAACATCTGAATTTGAAACAGCCAAATCACATATCTTATCTAGTGATGAGGTCTCTTCTCTTCAAGAATCTTTCACTAGAGTGCTTCGCACCGATACTTCATCCACGCCAGTAGCACCTCAGTCAAACAGTGCATTTGTAGGGCAAGTTCCAACGTTTACCCAAGGAGGTGAGAAATGGCCACGTACTGGTCCATCTGGCAAAGGCATAGTATGCAACTACTGTAAGAAGCCTGGACACTTGATCAAAGATTGTAGAAAATTAAAATTCAAAAATCAAGGAAATCAAGTTGCTCACATTGCTTCCGCTACAAAGTCTTCTGATGGATCAATCAGTATGTCTTCTGAGGAATACGCCAAATTTCTTTGCTACCAAGAGACTCTAAAGCATTCATCTACTCCTATCTCAGCTGTCGCTAATTCAGGTAATCCAAACACATGTCTTGTTTCTTCATCCTCAAAATGGGTCATCGACTCAGGAGCAACCGATCATATGACAGGTAATCCTAATCTTTTTTCTTCATTCCACACACCTCTTCATACTTCTACTGTCACTTTAGCTGATGGGTCTACCTCCCCAGTCTTAGGATCGGGAACAATTGTCCCAACATCCACCTTACCTTTGTCACCTGTCCTAAGTCTTCCAAACTTTGCTTTTAATTTGATTTCGATCAGTAAAATCACGCGTAAACTAAACTGTTCTGTAACCTTTTTTCCTGGTTATTGTGTATTTCAGGATCTGTTGACGAATCAGATTATTGGTAAAGGATATGAGTCGGCTGGTCTCTATCTTTTGGACACATCCTTACCTAAAACCATCTCCTGTCTTGGGGTTGGATCTGTGTTAGAGGCTCACTATCGACTAGGACATCCATCTCTCCCTTTGTTGAAGAAAATTCATCCTCAATTTAATAAGGTGTCGTCTTTACAGTGTGATTCGTGTCAATTTGCAAAACATCATCGTACTAGTTTAAGCCCTCGAGTCAATAAACGAGCACATGCTCCTTTTGAACTTGTTCATTCTGATGTTTGGGGAGCTTGCCCCGTTGTGTCTAAAATTGGCTTTAAATATTTTGTTACCTTTGTTGATGATTACTCTCGTATGACTTGGATTTACTTTATGAAACGGCGTTCTGAGTTGTTTTCTCATTTTTGTGCCTTTTGTGCTGAAATAAAAACTCAATTTAATGTTCCTGTTCGTGTTTTAAGAGGAGACAATGCTCAAGAGTATTTGTCTGCCTCGTTTAAGTTGTATATGGCTCAACATGGCATAATTCATCAAACTTCATGTGTAGACACGCCTCCTCAAAATGGTGTGGCTGAACGAAAGAACAGACATCTTTTAGAAACTGCGCGTGCGCTTCTTTTCCAAATGAATGTGCCTAAACATTTTTGGGCGGATGCTGTGTCTACCGCATGTTTTTTGATCAATCGAATGCCATCTACTGTTTTGGACGGTAAAACTCCGTATCAATGCCTATTTCCAAATAATGAACTTTTTCCTATACCGCCTAAAATATTTGGTTGCACTTGTTTTGTTCGCAATGTTAATCCTCATTTAACAAAGTTAGATCCCAAGTCATTAAAGTGCATTTTCTTAGGTTATTCTCGAGTTCAAAAGGGGTACAGATGTTTTTGTCCAAGTACAGGTCGATATATTGTTTCGATTGATGTCTCATTTTATGAGAATACACCTTATTCATCTCCAGAGGCAGATATTTGTAGGGAGAATGATGATATACTCATTTACACAGTCACCATACCTGAGTCCACTGCTTCGGAAATTACTCCACATCCTACTGTTTCCGACCCCAGGCCTCCAGTACAATTGGTATACACACGTCGACACAAAGCACCAGATCTTCCCCCGCCTGTGATTCCTTATCCTGATATTGATCCGATCTCGACCTCATGTCCTGAACCAATAACTGCATCTCCAGATCCTGTCTGTACATTAGATCTTGACCTCCCGATAGCACTGCGCAAAGGTACACGATCTTGTACTCATCCTATTTCTTCTTTTGTGTCGTACAGTCAGTTATCATCTACCTCATGCTCTTTTATTGCCTCCATTGATTCTATTTCTATTCCCAAATCTGTTAAAGAAGCTTTGGCTCATCCGGAATGGCGTCTTGCCATGATAGAAGAAATGAATGCTTTGGATCTTAATGGTACATGGGATTTGGTATACTTGCCTACAGGGAAGAAATCTATTGGATGTAAGTGGGTCTTTGCTGTGAAGGTCAATCCAGATGGATCTATTGCTCGGTTGAAAGCTCGATTAGTTGCGAAGGGTTATGCTCAAACCTACGGTGTAGATTATTCTGACACTTTTTCACCTGTTGCTAAATTAACATCTGTCAGGTTACTTATTTCACTCGCAGCAACTCATGGTTGGCACTTGCATCAGTTAGACATTAAAAATGCATTCTTGCATGGTGACCTTCAGGAGGAAGTTTATATCGAGCAACCTCCAGGGTTTGTTGCTCAGGGGGAGTATGGGAAAGTTTGTCGACTTCGCAAGTCTCTTTATGGTTTGAAACAAAGTCCGCGTGCATGGTTTGGGAAATTCAGTCAAACAATTGAACAGTTTGGAATGAAAAAAGGACAATCAGATCACTCTGTCTTTTACAGACAAACGCAAGCAGGTATCACATTGCTTGTGGTGTATGTTGATGATATTGTGATTACAGGGAGTGATAATGCAGGTATCTTGGCCCTAAAGAATTTTCTGCACAGCCAATTCCAGACGAAAGATCTTGGCTCATTGAAATATTTTTTGGGAATTGAGGTAACACGAAGTAAGAAAGGCATATTTCTATCTCAACGAAAATATGTACTTGACTTACTAGCTGAGACCGGGAAATTAGGGGCAAAACCAAGTACAACACCCATGGTTCCCAACGTTCAACTCACTCAAGAAGGCACACCGTTTGAAGACCCAGAAAGATATAGAAGACTGGTTGGAAAGCTTAATTATCTCGCAGTCACTCGCCCAGATATTGCGTATTCTGTGAGTGTAGTGAGTCAATACATGTCATCCCCAACCATTGATCATTGGGCTGCTGTAGAACACATATTATGTTACTTAAAGGGTGCACCAGGACGAGGTATTGTTTATCAAAACCATGATCACATGAGAATAGAGTGTTTTGCAGATGCTGATTGGGTCGGTTCTAAAGATGATCGAAGATCTACATCTGGTTATTGCGTCTTTGTTGGTGGTAATCTTGTATCTTGGAAGAGTAAGAAATAGAATGTGGTTTCTCGTTCGAGTGCTGAATCAGAATATCGAGCTATGGCACAATCTGCATGTGAGATCATATGGATAAGCCATTTATTGACTGAACTCGGATTGAAGACATCAATGCCTGCTAAATTGTGGTGTGATAACCAAGCTGCTATACACATAGCAAACAATCCCGTATTTCACGAGAGAACAAAGCATATTGAAGTTGATTGTCATTTTATTCGAGAGAAGATACAAAAAGGATTGATCTCTACCGAATATGTGAAGACTGGAGAACAACTTGGAGATTTATTCACCAAAGCTCTAAATGGGATTCGTGTTGATTACTTATGTAACAAGTTGGGCATGATAAATATCTATGCTCCAACTTGAGGGGGAGTGTGAAAGAATTATTGTATATAAGAATATGCTTTAGGAATATACTCTAGACATTATTATAGTATAGCATCTTATGTAGGAATATTCTATATAAGAATATGCTTTAGGAATATACTCTAGACATTATTATAGTATAGCATCTTATGTAGGAATATTCCTTCTTTGTAACCTATATATAGGGTCTTAACCCTCTTATATTAAACACACAAAATTCTTCCATTCTCATTACTACTATATGCTTAATTATGATAACACACGGAAAAAAGACAACGCTTCTTTGCATCTGTGGTTCTGTGCAGAACCAGCTATCAATACAGTCCAGGAAACAACGTTCTTCTCTGGCATCTCGTGGAAAATGAGGGATGCCTCGTTGAAATTCCCACATCTAAAATACCCAGAGATCAGTGAATTCCAAGCCACCGGAGTTCTTTTAGTCATTTCTTCAAACACCTTACTCGCACTAACAGTTCCATGTTGTCTACTAACGACTGAGTAGAAGTTCACTAAATTCGTTTGAACAAACGCGTCAGAAAAGTACCCCTTTTTCAATATCTTGCCGTGAACTTGCCCGCCTTCACACATCAACACCCCTTTTGCACAACTGTTGATTACATATGAGTACGTATACCCATCGGGTAAAGCAGTGGTTTTTTCCATTTTCCGGAAATACAGAACAGATAGCCGTGGCTGATCGCCACTGGTGTGACCTCTGATGATTTGATTCCAAAGAATGGTGCTTGGGTTTCAGACCCATTCGAATACTTGGGTGGCATATGACAGTCTTTGGAAGATTATGCAGAATGTTAGGAGCTTCCCAAGAATGAAGTTTTTCTGGGTTAGCCCGGTGGTAATGATTTGAGCATGGATCTGGGTAAGCTGCTGGATGGTTTTGCAGTTCTCTAAGAGGTAAAAGAGATGCTGTTGACGCGCTCTTGAACCGCTGTGGTTGGAGGGAAAGGATAGCTCAACTAACATTCAATTTTTTGGGGAATAAACCTCAGACCGCTCTTCTTTTCAACGAACACACACACATTCAGCACAAAGCATAAAAACTTAATGAGATAATTACATATTCACCATTTTAAGGTCATATTAAACTCCTTATCATATTCCATTTATATAGAGAGTATAGTTTTAATAGTACTTCGTAGCAAATATCATCCCTTAGCTTAATCAATTAAAATGCATACGATATAATCATTTCATACATCAACAATGAACTATTGAAATATGTAAAGATAATGATAATAAAAACACTTTGAAAAAAATTCAATCATTGGCTTGGATCCTACAAATCTGTATGCATCGTTGTCATGGGTGGAGCTAGAGAGGGGTCAGCTTAGATCCTAGACCACCACAAATTTAAAAGAAGTTTTCGTCTTCTATGTAAAAAGTTTCGTGTAAATTTTTCCATAAACCTTATAAGACCCTCATTTAACAGGCAATGGTGCTACAAATACTAAATGTAAGTATGTAGTGACTAGTTGTGCAGTATTAACTATGAAGCCACATTGAGACATTGCCATTGTAGCTAGTTGTGCACTAACAAGACATATTATATTGTTATGGCTACCTTTATTGTATTGAGAATTTACAGTTAGTTAATATAGCGCAATAGTGAAAGTCACTACAAGTAATAAAAGGGCTGTAGATTTGTAGTGTATATGCAATATTGTTTTTGGGTCTATTATTTGAAATTATTTGAAATCGCAAATAATGAAATTATAAAATCACTACCATTATACTTCGTATTCTCTAGTGTATTCTACCATCAGCTGATTCTATCTACATTTCGACCTAACTCGAACTTTATATAGAGACTTTTGTAGTCTTGTACATTGCCTGTTTTATGAATTACATCGTATTACTCAATTTAAAGAAAATGAACAAATGTCGGGGAACTAATATCAGTCCATATTGAAAGCAAACAATTCAGCTTTCAAAAAAAAAAATCTAGTACATGCATTGCTCAATTGAAAAGGGATTTTATCCTCAAATTTAGTTTTGATATGGTAGTGCTTTTTGGCTTCCAGATTCACTACTCTCATTTGGAAGTGGCTTATCTGTTTAAGTAATCCTAACTTAAACAATTGGAATATAATGGGGCGGAGCTAGGGCACTGGACCGGCCTGGGCCGATACAAAGAATATTTTTGGAAAATATTTTTCACGCAATTTTTTACACTAAAAATTTAGACAATTTTAAAATTTGGGCTGGGCCAGGGCCAGGATTGGCCCTCCCCTAACTCCGCCCCTGGAAATATTTTAAGGGATATGTAGTAAATATTGTAGGTGGGTTCTATCATCAGATAGCAGAGGTGCTTTTGGTTTCATTGTTATGGACTCTATTTTTCAGTGGGGCTTTTTCTCTGAATAATAATTTTAATTATGCTGTTTCTTTAGAATTTTACTTTCATTGTATTAGCGTTATACTGCTTTTTAAAACTCTTTTAATATTTTTTTCGTTAAAAAAGGGAACAAATATTATAAATATTCCCAAAAAATGAACAAGTATAACTGGTCACACAATAATCTAGCTACAAAAGTATTTATTAAGCCAACTATTTATCAAGTCAACATTGGTAATCGTTAAATAATTTCATAGTCATTGCGTTCAATATTTTTTATACATGAATATAAAGTAGATAAAGTTACCCTTCACCTATATTGCGGTTTATGAAAGTCAAAACAAAAAAATCACACTTTCTTAAAAACCGTGAAATCAAATTGCGAAGTTCTTTTGGAACCGGAGAGAATATATTTTAGTGATTGCATATATTCACTATGTTGTATACTTTGAATACAATTATTGTCAATAATAATTACAAAGTCAAATTTTTCCATGATTATTTTACTAGTAATATACCATACTATTTCGTATGGTAATGGTCATACGTACGACTTCATGATTAGGCCTGGAGTAAGTTGGGCAAGTATTTGGCCGAGCCTTGCCTACTATTAACTTCACTCAAGCAACCACTCATGCAACTCAATTAAAACGTGCCAATTTCTCAAAAAGGAATATAAACGTTTACTTATGGATCTTATGGTTAATGAAATTGGATCATTTAATTTGTCTAAATAAAAAGAGGAACCTCTAATACGGCAGCTTCCCAGAGGTAATCATGCTTGCGGCACATGTTATAGTTAGTAAGTTATTAGTAACTAATTAAGTAATTAGTCAGTTTAATTTGTTGGAGTCCAATTAATTAAGTGATAATCAAGAAGATTAATAATTATAATTAGCATATATGCTAATAATGTAACACCTGTTAATTTCCTCCCTGTGATTTCATACGGAGTATAGTTTTGTCAGATGTCTCCTAACACCAAACTCTTATCCCATTTTCTGGCATTATTATGTTTGGATCATAGCATAATGTAATTAGCCTGTAATAATAATATCAAAACACAATTAGAACTCAGGAGAAGAACTAATGGCCTGATTAGGCCTTGGATCCTTGAGAGTTTGGTAGAGCCAAACACTTTTCTGTGGATATACCACAAACTCAATCAATTGCATGTAGTATATATGTTTGTGTGTGTGTTTGAAGCAGTATGTATATCAGACATTACTTTAAAAGTTGATTATTTTTAGGGAAAGTAAAATATGGGTAAAGGTAAGAGCACAATGCTAAGTAGTAATAATATTGGAAACACTAGTGAGTGCAGGAATGCCATTACAGATTGCAGCAGAGTAAGGATTCTGCTTTGTGACTTCAATGCTGAAAGTTGTGGCCAAGTTTTGCAGCTTCTTACCCAATGTTCTTACCAGGGTATGCTCGTTTATACGCTCTTTCCTATTCATGGTTAAATCGATATTTTTCTAAAAGTTGACCTATATATTGGAGTAAAAGTCATACAATGTGCACATATAGGCAAAGATCTTTTCGGAAATAATGTTTAGTAGGAGTAATTTGCTCGTATTAAAAAATGTACATACATATTCCTAAGAGTAACTTGCTCCCATAAAGATAACATACATATTCTTATTTGTGCATTTTCATATCGTTTTAGTCGTATATCAGTAAGTTTCTGATTAGTATTCCACCGCGAAGAAAATGTTTGGGTGGGCTAATAAAAGAAATTATAGTGTTGGTCTAGGCCGGGCTAGTATACCCTTAGAGTCTTGGACCCCCTAAATTTTGTGGGCCTTGAGATAATGGGATGATTACTGATTTGGTTCTAGTCTCGTTGGGCAAATGAACTCTAATTAATTTAAACTTGTGTAATAATTAAGCATATACGGAGTAAAAATTTGGTTCAAATGAGATCGGCAGAAAAATGATAATGATTATGTAATGTTGGATTTAGATATCGTGCATTATGTTAAACAAAAATGCGACTATCATAAATTAGAAAATATTCATTTGAATTGTGCATTATTTTAACAAGAAACATGCACATTTGAACTTTGCATTATTTTAACTATAAATGTGCACATCAATGAACCATAATGTGCGTTTGTGAAGAAGTGTTCTCGCCGGAATCGGCCCAATCATACATAATAAATATATGATGTGCAGTTGCTCCCGTGACTTCAACTGCTCAAATGTTTGATGCACTCGAATCTGAAGATCCTTGTATGGATATCATTCTTACTGAAATCGCGATTCTGATAGCCAATGGATCAAGCATTATGAGTTCTATCAAGCAAAATGTCAGTCTAAGGCATACTTCAGTGATTAGTAAGTTTTAATTTCTTTGAGTAACCTTATTAGTAAGTTCTTCCAAATTAAATGACGTTTTTTCCACCATTTTTTTATGTGTGCCATCTAAATAAAAATATTTTTAGTGTCTATTTGGGAGGCTATATAATATGCTCAAAACTTGTACAACAATATATTTGACATTAGAAAAATAAGGAAAAGAATTTGTGGTTAACATTTGAACCGATGCCACCCATGCATTTAACTGTTATATCTTTCTCTTATTATTGGTAGTGATGGTGACAAATGAAGAGGTTTCCCTTATTGGGAAAGGCTTGGGATATGGAGCAGCTGACTATTTGGTTAAACCATTGAGTATTCATGAAATAAAGAATCTCAGAATTCACATCAAATGAAAACTTATGAGTTGATTTCTTTCGTTCTTAATGCGAACGATGAATTTTTATAGTCAAAGGCAACTCCATTATGAAGTCACATGCTATGTGTGGCTATGATTGATTAGGATAAAGTCACATATGCATATATGATATATGTTTCCATATAGTGAAGTCATATATGTTTCATTTTTTATGTAATGTGAACTGTATTTAGCTTAAATTGAACATTTGATTTGATTTAACTTGAATATTTTAAAAGTTTTTGGATGTAATGTGTTGTTTTCTTACAATTCATTGTATGAAGAATAATGAAGTGATCTTTAAATTGTTATTACTACATGAGGTCATCGACACCAACCTTAGTCTCTAATGTGTTCTATACTTCTATGCATGAGACAAGTACAATGCTAGTTCTTCCTAGTGTTGAAATCCTAGGACACGAGTATCCTTAGCAGTACAAATTACTCCAAGGTACTAGACTCTGAAGATAAATGGACACCAACCTTGGTCTCTAATGTGGCGCCCTATCGTCTTAGAATATTGGATGTAATGTGTTGTTTTCTTACAATTCATTGTATGAAGAATAATGAAGTGATCTTTAAATTGTTATTACTACATGAGGTCATGATCGTGCAAGGACGGAGCCAGGAACCGGTGTCAGTGTTGTCAATTTAACAAAGCACTATTTTTAAGCAGAATACTACTACATCCGTCCCACTATGTCTGGGACAATTCGGTTTACGATGTTTAACCGACGATAAAGAAAACTGATTCTTGTACGCACTCAAATTATTTTTGGAAAATAAAAATAACATATTTAGAAACTACATAAAGAAACTTTACAAAGTCGCAAAAACCAGAATCAAATTTGAGGGTAGGTAGTAGGGGGGTAGGGTAGGGTAGGGTAGGGGTAAGGTGTAAGGTACGAGGATGGAGGTACCGGAATGGAATTGACATCGGAGCCGGACCGGACCCACCACTAGGTGTAAGTATGCAAATTTATTGTAGCGGTACTGTAGCATTTGCGTTTTCCAAATTTGGAAAACTAGTAAAAGTCACTTTTCCAAATCATTAAGGAAAAGAGAGACATGTTTCATTTTTTCCGTTTTGGAAAACGATTTGGTAAACGCATTTTTCTTTTTTCCTTTCTCCAGTTTTTCAAGAATTTCTTTGGTAAACATGTTTCCTGTTTTCTGTTTTCCAGTTTTTCCAATTTTCTGAAAAACTGGAAAATATCTCTGTTAGTAAACAGGCCCTTAGCTTTCCGTTTCATACATAAATTATTAATTATATTATTCATCTAATCGTGAGAACTGAGATGATATAATAGTGCGAAAGTAGTATTTTAATTAAAACTATTGTGGGTTGTGACAGGCCTAATTAAGACTGATAAATAATCAATTTGGGGTGAAAGGAAATCCAAGTTGTTAATGGAAACCCCTAAATTTTGAATATGGATTTATAATAAGAAAGTCTTACTACACAGGTACAAAAGAAACAGTCCTAAAATTAAGACAAGAGGTGCACTTATGTGCTAAGTCGGAGGTATATGAAAAGAAATTAGAACATAATTAGAGAAGCCTAAAGTCGAACAACGTTCATCTCTGACTCCAACTAGCTAGGAGGATTCAAACCTGAAAGTTGGGTGGCTATAGATTAGAGATGTTTGGAATTGATTTGCTTTTACTTCTTTTTACAATCAGAAGTAGAATCATAATCATTTTTTCAGAAGTCATTTTCTCCAGTTTCTCTACTTTTAGGAACAATTTGAAGTACTTAAAAGAACTTCTACATTTCCACCCAAACACTCATATTTGATTCATAGAACACACACAATTTTTAGAGTCTTGTATTCAGTTAATTTCGAGTACTTAGAAGTACTTCTACAATTTTGAGAAAATATATTCATAGATATATAAAGCCACATCTTTTAATCGTAATTAAACACACCTGATCCTGAATGCCCGATGTTTAAACACACTTACTTTGTAGAATGAAGAATTAAATTTGAACCGAAATTAAACCGGGTCATCAATAGCTTCCTCGGTGTTTGGAGAATTGGAGTGAATCCTGAAAATGTTCCTCTCTACCATGGCAGCAGCAGCTTGAAGGAGTTTGATAAGAAAGTGAGACTTGAAGACCTGGTTTTGAGGCTTGTCATTTGTGACTTAGCTCTAAATGGGGCTCTTCTTATAGTCAATAGTTTTTTTGAAAGATATATTCACCATTCAAAACAAAGCTATATTTACAAACATGATCGGTAATCATATAGTCATAGTGTAAGCCCTTCATTTCTGTTTGGGATCAATTGTGGGGTTCTTTTCTTGCCAAAAAATCGAATTGAGTTTGTGGGTTTATATGCTTGTTAGGAAATTGCAAGTTGTTATGGTTTGTTTGAACATGGTTTTTCGATATGTTTCAGAGTTCTCTAAAAAGTACAATTCTTTTCTCCCTAATACAATTAAGCTAGTTATTTATTGTTCTCCTAAATAATGATTTTTCTTAGCCTAGTGAGACTATCTAAAACAAAAGATTAGAGCTCCCTTTCTCGAAATAACATGAGACCACCTTTTGTGTCTTGGAAAAGCTCAACACGGCTATATTTTTAGATACAATTCTAAATTGGTCTAGTAAATCTTGAGAATGAGTTTCCTAACTAATGTTCGTACAAATTAACTGATCAAGTTAAGTATGATTTGATGCTACTCTAATTTAGCCATATAACGAAGAACAAAGGTGCAAAGTCTGTGATAAGTCCGTATTTAGACACGCATTTGATGCGTGTTGGAGTTGGATTTTGATGGTTTCCCCAGCTTTAAGGTGTTGCAAGTCTCAATTTTAGCTCAAGTTATGTTTACCGGGCGTTGGTTCGAGTTTTGTGTTGTTTGTAGTCAAAATCAGGGAATTTGAATCTGGCACCGGCACTTGAGGAACAATCGGGATGATTTGAGAAGCATTTGAGAATGATTTGATAGCTTTGGAGGTCACCGGGAGATTCACAATGAAGATTTGAAGGAAAAAGAGCTCTAGGACTGGCTTCGGGATAAAAAGCAGACGAATAGAGCTTGAAAACGACGATCAGGATGACCTTCTGTCAATAGTTCAATCATATCTCTTTGTAGAAACAACCAATGGACACGATTCAAGTTTCATAGGAAAGCCAACTTCAAGGGATACAAATCATATGAAGACACCTTTGCGAGAATCAGAGAGGAAGAAGGTGAAAACAGACGATGAAGTCAGATGATCTCTGCTGCGATTTCAGAAAGACACCTTCCACCGTTTTGATCATATCTCTTGATTGGATGATTCAAATCACATTCGGCAAATTGGGGTGGATAGAGGACTTCATTATCTACAACTTTCATGAAGGAAGTTTTGTCAAATTCGGAAGTTAAGTAGGCACGATCGTGCCCTCAAAATCAGACACGATCGTGCCTGAAGAGAAAAGCACCGCGGAGCTACTGCCCGCCAGGCACGATCGTGCCTGGAGGGAGGCACGATCGTGCCTGCCCAAAATGCGTGTTTTTGCTCCGGAGGCACGATCGAAGGCACGATCGTGCCTGGCATCGTGTCTGGCTCCGAAAATCCTAATTCAGCTCAAATTTCACCCGATTTTTCTATTTAAACAGCCTGTAAACCCCCGTTTTCAAGGGGGGAGCTTAGAGAGAGTGCCTAGCACGAAATTTAGAGGGCTTTTCAGCCTTGTTCATCAATCTTTTGGGATTCTTTGTAAGTTCCACCTTTTTAGTTAATGACAATTAATTCTTTTTATTCCAATTCTATTGATTCTTCAATTATGAATTGTGAGTAGTTTTAATTAGGGATTTGGGATTGATGAAGGGGTTAATCATGATTGATGGCTAGATTCTTGTCGGTTTAATTGCATGAATGCCGTTTAATTTGTGTTTGAATAATTTAACTGATATCTCTTGTAACCTAGATGGCCACTAGAATTACAATTGCTTATAGAATAAATTAAGAGAGATCTAATTTGTTCTAGGACACATTCACACACACTTAATCGTTCGCTAAGAGATTAGTAGCGATTAAGGGGCCGTAAGCTCGCTCGTCTTGGCAATAATTTAGGATCCTGTCGCATGAGAGATCAGCCTGGTCCCCTAAATTATTGTACTCTACGCCGCGAGAGCGGTAAGAACTTAGTAATGATTAGCTAGGCTCAATTAAATTAATTTCATGTAATTAGGCCTGATCTGCCAGAAATCTGGTTACCCCGGAATCGATCCCTATTCCCTTCGTCATTAATTAGAAAGAACCCCCTAGGTTAATTGTTCGCATTAATTTTATTTTCCAAACCAACCAATCTCGCACGACGCTTTTATTTTATTTTCTTTTTAATCGCTGAATTTAGTTAATTCTTAATTCCCTTTTGTCCGTCCCTGTGGAGACGATACTCGTACTTACACCACTTTTCTACAACCATTTTAAGTGCGAGAAAACTCACATTAGTTTTTGGCGCCGTTGCCGGGGACGGTGTCGGTTTTAAGGGTTAATTAATTTCAGCGAGAATTTTTTTTAGTTAGTTTTCTTTTAGTTTTTTCGTAGAATTTTTTCTGTGCTAACCTTTCAGGTAATTTCTAAGAGGCATGAGATGAACTCATTCAACCAAATTCCTGGAGTAAGTCCTTTTCCCCAAACCTCCATGGAATTTTCACCATATACACCATGCCCTCCTTACACTCCTCCTCCTCCTCAATATTACACACCTCATCAAAATTACTCTCCTACGCCACAAAATATTCAGCCTTCTTATCCGTACACTCCAACCACACAACCCTTTCATTCTGATTTTTACTATCCTTCATCACATTACCATTGGGTAAGCGTAAGACGAGGCTCCATTCTTGAATTTATGCTTCTAAATAAAACGCCTGAGGAAATATCTGAATGTTTTAAAGGTAGCATTTGTTCCTTCTGTGGAGGAGGTCACCATTTATGTCTTTGCCCCATCAAACCTCTATATGACCATCCTTTTCGGGAAACTGCTTACCCCACTTCTTCCTCCCCACAATTTACGAACACAAATGTTTCAGTCACTCCTACATACTTCCCGAGTAATGAGCCTCATAATCAACAAGAGGATCTGGAGGAGGCAGATTTAAAGAGACTTTCTAGCTTGGAAGAATCACTCAAACAATTAGGGCAAATTCAGCATAGAGCGGACTCAAGGATGCAGAACATGGAGAATCAATTGGGGCAGATTGCAAAGGCTTTATCTGAGGAGTCCGAGAGATCCCATCCTAGCGACACAGAAGCCCAACCTGAGGAGACCAATAGGGATGATCATATGAGTGAGTCGGACTGCGAAGGTGGGAA